CGGTGAAACTCCGACGAAACAGTTTGTCACAGCCCCTCGTTTGTTGTCCTCTTCTCCCTCTCTGCCTACGGTTTACCTGCCAGTTCTATTTGACGATATAAAGTTCAATAGGAATTTAATAAGCTAATCCCATACTACGAGTTGTTTCAGATCCAAGATATACTCTAACACTTAAAAATTCTGTTGGACACGCAGATTCACATGACGATATATATTCAGCCTCCTGATGAGTCGGTGAAACTCCGACGAAACAGTTTGTCACAGCCCCTCGTTTGTTGTCCTCTTCTCTCTCTCTGCCTACGGTTTACCGGGCAGTTCTGTTTGTGACGATATAGCTGAATTTTCTAAATTTTCTCCTCATATACGGGGGAGAAGCTATATTTTTACTACTCAGGGGAAGACGGTAGGGGAACTACCTTCTTCCCCTGAATAGAACGTATCGTCATTATCCCTGTATCTAGACAGAAACTTGCACCAAATGCAGGTGCCATGACCGTACAGCGTACGTTCTCTTCTGGGGAGCATGTTTATGGCATTGGATTCTTTGGACGTCTAGAACCATCTGATGGTTTACAGTTTACTGGCTTTTTTTTTTTTTTTTTTTTTTTTTTTTCCAATGTTTCGTTTGCTGGCTTAGTGGCTTATAGATGTATCGCCTCCCTTTCTCTGCTTGGTTCATCTGTGAATGTGACAGGTTGATCTTCCTCCATGATGGGCGAGTGGTGTGGGAGGGTCTTACCCGAGAGTTCGACACCACCTCAGAGGCGATTGTTCGTCAGGTACGGATATTCCTGCAATGGTGGCGGCATGTGCCTAATGTTTCGGAAACCACTGTCTTGCGACTCTTGCTTGCCCAATTGCTCAGAAATTCTACCTACCCTCTTTCCAACTGCTGTGACAAGCCTGAACACTGCCATGATCCCCAGACGAAATCAAAACTGAGAATGCTGTGCAGTGATGAAATGCCCCCACACTATAAAAACTCGCAATGTAGCAAATCTCAAATCCGGGCCGTTCGTCGTCCTACTGGGCGACAGCACAAATGTAACCACTCCGAGATCCAGGACGTCGTGTCCTACCGGACCAACGGCGCAGATCGTTGCACCATCTGAACAGCTTAACAATCGGCTTGGTACTGCCAGCTCAAATGCCCGGATTGAAGTAGACACCCGCCTCCGCCCTCCCTTGCCCTCACAGCCCTGCCGCCCTCCCACAGCCCTACGGCCCAGCCATGTGCGACGTCCTCCACCCTCTGCGGAGGGGGTGGGCGCGGGGAGGGGGGGGAGAGAGAGAGAGAGAGAGAGAGAGAGAGAGAGAGAGAGAGAGAGAGAGAGAGGGGTTCTGTCCACACCATCTTCCTGCCTCGCTTGCAGCACCTCCCCACCAGTTCCCTTTCCTGCTTTGCTGCTCCTCCTTCCCCTTTCGGTGACTCTACGAGGACGATTAAGTTCAAGTTATTCTGTTTGTTTTTCTGATTTTCTTGGTGTTTTTCTGCACCAGGTCACCTTTTTATTCGAAACTGAGAGCTTCAGAGCAATTCATTTCATACTTGCGGCGCATCAGTGCGGTGCGCGCTGCGCTGCGCTGCGTGGTGCGCGGTGCGCACCTGTGCCGTGCGCACACTCGTGCGCGATGCGCGCGCACTACTGCGCAGTGCGCTGCGCGGCACTCCGGTGCGCAGTGCGCCGGTGCGCTGGGGCGTGCGCGTGACGAGCGCAATTTCGCGCATGGTGCGCCGTGGTATACATGGATTTTTGTTTTTTTTTTCCCTTCGTGATACACCGAGTTGACGAGTTAACCCCGTAGAGAGAGAGAGAGAGAGAGAGAGAGAGAGAGAGAGAGAGAGAGAGAGAGAGAGAGAGA